TAAATTTATTTAAAAGATTTTCGTTAATTTTAAAGACTTGAAGAAATATTTATTTCAAATTGAGCTAAGTCGATTTAGCAATGTCCAGTTCATCTGTATATCTGCCAATTAGTCCATTATAATATAATAAACTGTCTTGCGTGATCTACATTAATTTTGCGAAGCGTTTTCAGCTTCGGTGCAATCAAAGTTATGATGTTTTGTTGTTTTTGTTTTAACTCCTATGTAAATTTTATTCAGTTGCCAAAAAACCTCAAGCTTTTTCAGTTTGGGCATTTCTTCAATAATGAAAAGAAAAGCCTTACCCTTAAACCTCCACATTTAGCGGAAATAAAAATAAATCACGTGCTTTAATTCACTTAAGGGCGGCAAGTGCCGATTTGTGTGTTTAATTAATATAACTAATTAAATGTTTAACAAGCACAAGCAATTGAACTATTTCAAATTCAATTTATTTTTATATAAAATGCGCTTTTTACTCGCTGACTATTTAAAAGCATATTTTTCGAACGCTCGGGCGACCTTCCCAACGAGAGCATACTAAAGTTATATTTAAATGTATTTAAGTGTAAATATATGTATATATCTATATCTATATATATATACATTTCTTGAGTTGTCGCAAATCATTCGTGGGATTTATTTTGGTCAATGTGTCACATTCTTGCGCTGCAACTCACCGATCGATGACTAAGCGCGAATTGTATAACTGCGTAGAGTGCTGGGAGTCGCGAGTGCCCAGCATAAAAGTGTAGCAAAAGAGACGTATAACATTGTCGGCTGATCGCGCATCACATGATGCAGCCTTGGCGGCTATGAATGATGAGAAATCAATTAAGTTACGTATACGACCACGCGTACCTATTCAGTGCACCTCAAGATCGGCGCTGTATGTGTGTCTCTGTTTCAGTGGGCGTGAAACATGCGAATAACTAACTGTATTGCATACAGTGCAACTTTGTTAATGTTGCAAGCTAGCGTATTAAAGAAATTGTAATATTTTCGCATACTACAGATACGTACTTGTATCTATAGCCAACCAATTATATAAACAAATAACCAATTTTATAAACAAATAAATTCACGCTGTTTACTTAAACAAATACTTACACTATAATGCAGAGGGGAAGCACTCTGGTAATGAATTCTTCGAAAATTAAACTAACTTAAGCACAAACAGCGTGCTTTTATGAGTTAATGTTAAAATTGCTGGAAATCAATCGTCTTGTCTGCTGGCAACGCGTGTATATTTATATTAGTGGAACATACTATTAGCACTTTTCGGAAAGTTTCTGTTTTGCTAGATTTTAGTGCATTTGTTGCAATGCCAAACCCAACGCCATTACTTCTACGAGAAAAAGCACTTGCTCTCCAAATAAAACAGGAAAAAAACAGAAAAACGTCCGCATCGTTTGCGTGGCTTTGTCTATTAGTGCCCATCTGTTGCTCGTAAAATTCAAAGAGTTTTAGGTATCACTTGTGTTTTGATTAGACTAAAATTTTCCACAAACTTTTATAGATTCTTCTGGTAGCGTTTTTTTTCATTTGTGTGCTTTTTCAATAGCTTTTATGATATTTTGTGACAAGATTTGCATGTTTTATTCATCACCTACGGCGGCAGGCAGTGTCGGTCAGCAGAAATTTCTTTGGCGAGTGGCTATGAAAAACATGTGTCGGGCAGATTGGCTTAAGCGAAATTTGCACGTTTTTATACATATACAAACGATCAGTAATGGAAATTGCAATCGCGCCAATTGTTGATATATTTCAAATATTTTTATACCCAGAAAAGGGTTTGCCACGAAGTTGTTATCACCCAAAAGGAAACGTCGGGGTCCCTTTAACATGTAGATATTGTATTATATGTTCATAACTATATATGTATATACAAATGATCAACGTGACGAGGTGAGTAACATTTGTCTGAACCATCGATATCGAATCGTTATTGCATATAGCTGCCATACAAACTGAACGATCGAAATCAAGTCATTGTAAAGAGAAGTTTTTCATTTGAAGAGATATCTTTACGAAATTTGGTACGCATTATTGCTTAAAACACAGATACAATCTCAGAAGAAATTATTCAAATCGGTTCACTATATCATATAGCTGTCATACAAATCGAACGATGAAAAATTAGTTATTGTAAGAAAAACTGTTTTCTTTAACCATATATCTTAATAAAATTTTACAGAAATTAGCGTTCAAAACAAGGTTCTAAAATCTGAAGAGATATTTCAGATCGGACTACTATTTCATATAGCTGTCATACAAGCTGAACCGTCGAAGTCAAGTTCTTGTATGAAAAACTTTTTTATTTGTAAATATATCTTACTGAAATTCCGCATGGTATACTGTTCAAAATAATGCCACGCTATCTGAAGAAATTGCGCAGATCGGTTGACTATAGCATATAGCCGCCATACAAATTGACCTTTCAAAATCAAATTTTTGTATGGAAAATTTTTTAATTTGACAACATATCTTCATGAAATTTATCATACATTATAATAGCAAGCAACGGTATCATATTCGAAGAAATTTTTCGGATCCGACCACTATAGCATATAGCTTGCATACGAACCAACCCATCAAAAAAAATTCTTGTATGGAAAACTTTTTGGCAATATTACGATTCTTTTCGCGCCGCGATTTGATGGTACGGACGCATAGAAAATTTCTTCAGGATTAAAAAATATACCCTCCTCAGACTCATAGTTTCCGAGATATTTCTATTTAAAGTTAAAAAATTTGTAAAAACAAATGATGTACAAAATATTTGATTAGTTTTGTTTCTTTCACTTCAAATTCAACCGATACGATTCATTAGTAATTACGAAATATTTTTGCTTTAAATTGTTTACAGCACAGCTCGCATCGATACGAAATATAACCACCAATCGGACGATGGAAATCGGTAAAGAGTTGCACATTGTTTGCAAGGTGCAGGGCAGGCCGCCGCCAAAGGTCACCTGGTTCAAGGATGGTAAATCGATTAATCGCAATCGAAAATTATACAAATTTCGGCACTTCAAGTGAGTAACAACAAATTAAGCTAATTTATTTTGCACTTTACCAGTAATTATATGTCTAATTGTGTTTGCATGTGCTACAACAAAAATTCTTCACACATTACCACCACCAACCAACACCAACATACACTTTGGAACACACCGACAGAATGCGCTCCGAGCTGATCATTCGTTCGTTTAACATCTCCGATACGGGGCATTACGAATGCCGTGCCAAAAATAAAATCAATCAGGAGCCAGCTCGACGCATCATAGCAATCAAAGCGGATCCAGGTGAGTAGCGCATCCACCGCATACAGCAGATGCGATCGTGAATAAAACAGCATACATATTTTTTCATTTTCCACGCTTTATATCTGCGCGCTGTTTATTTTTTAAGTTGTCTTTTAATTTCATTCGTTTTCGCTTTCTTCACACAAATTATTGCGCTCCAATTAATTTGTGATTTATCGCAACATTTCCTTTCTTACCAAATTGTTATTGCTTGTGTAGATTATGTGAGCTGCAGTGCTGTGCCTTAAGGCCTCTTTGCACTCTCCACTTTTGTATATTTGTTGAAGAAAATGTATGTTAAACTGAAAGTGACTCTGTAAAATGCATAACCGACCTCATAACCATTTGCAGAAGGAAATGTGTGGTGGAAATGAGTCGGCATAAATGGCTATATTGTAGATTATAGATAATAAAGGCACTTCACGTATACAGTATATTAATTACAGTAGTTCCAGTTATTGAGTTTACTTGGTTGGATACTCGTTGGTCTTATGCAAAGTCTTCGGTGTGACCTCAGTTCAGGATCAACAGCAAAAGTATTGATTGCCACTAGGCTACCAGGCATAGAGGACACAAGAATCAAATAATATCATCACTCCGCTGATGCCTTTTTTCCTCTGCTACTTTTTCTACCATGAAAATCTTAAATTAAGTTGGTAACTACTAGTAGTAAACATTTAAGACTCATCTTCATTTTTATTGGTGTGGACAAAGCTTATACGGTTATAACCGAGCGCCTCAGTCGTTCTTTCTTTTCGCTGTTTGGCCGCCATTAGAAATTCCAAGTGTAGCCGGGTCCTTCTCCACCTGGTCTTTCCAACGGTGTAGAAGTTTTCCTCTTCCTCTGCTTCCCCCGGCGACTACAGCGTCGAACATTCTCTGAACTGGAGTGCTTTTATCCATTGAGACAACATGACCTAGCCAGCGCAGCCGCTGTCTCTTAATTCGCTAAACCATATCAATGTCGTCGCATATCTCGTACAGCTCATCGTTCCATCGACTGCGATATTCGCCGTTGCCAATGCTAAAAGGATCATAAATCTTTCGCAGAATTTTCTCTCGAATACTCGTAACGCTGATCAGATGATGTCTTCACTTCCACATAACAGGATGGGTATGATGAGTGACTTGAGAATTTGGTTGCAAAAGTTATTCTTCATTGAATTTCGAGAGTGACGTTGTTGTTAGTGCTAATACTAGTTCCAATATAGACGACATTATCTAAGAGTTCGTAGTTATGACAATCAACAGTGGCGTAGGAGCCAAGTCGCGAATGCGACGTCTGTTTATTTGATGACAGAAGATATTTCGTCTTGCCCTCCTACACTACTAGACCCATTTGCTTCGTTTCTTTGTGCAACGTGAAGTAAGCAGAACTAACGACGCGTTTGCTATGGTCAATAATATCGATGTCATCGGCGTCAGCTAGCAATTTGACACTCTTGCGGAAGATTATACGTTCTCTGGTCAGCTCGAATTATTCTCTCCAGTAGTAGATAGAAGAAGTTGCACGATAGGGAGTCGCCTTGTCTGAAACCTCGGTTGGTATTGAACGATTCAGAGAGATCCCTCTCGATCCTGAAGGTGCCTTTGGTGTTGCACCGTCACGATCGAGCACACTGAAGTTCCAATCTTCGGGCATGCTTTTGTCCGACCATATTCTACAAAGAAGCTGATGCATGCAGTTCTTCGCCACCATGTTCGAATAGCTCAGCCGGCAATCCATCGGCCCCCATCGCTTTGTTGTTCTTCAAACAGGTAATTGCGGATAAATGAACGTTCGCTCCATCGTCATTGATTGGGTAATCGAATTCAACATCTCCTGATGTTATGCTTTCACTGCCATTCAGCAGGCTAGAGAAGTGTTCGCTCCATAATTTTAGTATGTTCGGAGCATCAGTCACTAGATCACCTTTAGTGGCTTGACATAAGTATGCTCCGGTCTCAAAACCTTCTGTTAGTCGCCGTTTATTCAATTGGCTGTAATTCACAGATCTATTTGGGCTTTAGGATTTTAATCAATTTCCTAAGGCTTTCGAAATCGCCCACATTTAACTGTTTGAGTTACTTTAATGCTTAATCATATAAATTAAAACACATTTTGACATTTCAGAGACACGTTCTACAACAAATCTAGCAGGCGGCACTGGCAAGGTCTGTTCCGATGATGCCGCTGAATTCTGTATGAATGGTGGCACCTGTCATTTCTATACGGAAATCAACTCATTCTCTTGCATGTAAGTATGGAAGCAAGTAATAAGATGTAGAATAATTTCAGCGGATCTATAACTTAAACATGAAATCAGTACTAAATTAATTAGTTAGAAGAAATATACATTACAATACAACGACATATACAAATATATATATAGTATAGCTGCATCAAGATCAGCAGCGTATAGTGCTGGATGCAAAACAACCTCAAAGAACTGCATGTAGATATATAAATATATAGACATATAAGTATGTAGGCAGGCATATAACAAAGTAAACGTTCCTTAGCGCCGCACACAAGAGTTTGGGGCATGTAACGCGTGTGGGGAAGCGGCAGTCGTCGAACACTGCCCCGGCATAGGCACAAAGTGCGCGCGCGACTGCACGTTGACGGCATAAGCAAACTTATATACACAACTAGATATATTATATGCGTATATATGTATATATAATATAAATGTATATGTATATGTAAATATACACTTGAATGTGTGCATGTGTGTGCATGTAGTTGTAAAGATGCAAAGATCTCAGGGATCGCAGCACATTTGGAAATAAATTGACGCGCTGAAAGACATAATTCACATTGCGCACACGCACTCCATTTGCGATACGAACACGTGCAAGCAGGGCAGGCAGGGCGCTGAACAAATGAAGATCACAAAAATGAAGGCAGACACAGCGCGCGAACACGACAACCAAGTACACTGAAGTACGCGCACGACACACACACACACATATGTCGACACACACACATAGAGTTGTAGCTGTAAACTTTTGCGGCGCATTGAGGGGTGGAGACTTGCTATAACGGATTTTTTTTGTTTTTTTTTTTTTTTGTTTTGGTCTCTACGAATGACTCTAATTTTTTGGCGCTTCATGCTCTTGATTTAAGATTGAATTTCTTTATTTTTCCGTATCTTGTTGTCAAGTCACCCAAATACAAGTATTTTACTCAACTTCATTTCATCTGCAAAACAATAAAAATGTCAACAGTCCATTGATTACTTTCGACATCGTTCGTTTGACACATCTGTGGTGAAATCCAACGATTTTCTCTGTTGACAATTGGATGTATGGCGCACCGAGATTTGCTGTATGAACGCCGGCGATTTCTGCTTAATAAACGGAAAAGTATAAAAATAAAATGATTTGTTTGGGGAACAGCGTGCCGCTTTTGCACCACCAAACCACAACGCAAACAGCGGCGGTTGGCGACCCTCATTTTACACTAGCGCCGCCGTCATTCTTAATAGTTAATTTGTTAAATCTCATAAGTGTAAGTTTGTATACTTACAAATAAGGAAAACATAAAAATAAAAATCAAATGTAAGATGAGGCTAAAAATATGATATTGAAAAACATCATAAAAGCACGCCCTACCAAAATATTTCCATAGCGCATACGCTTTAGCACTTTGGCTGCACTTTACTACAGCGCCTTGTACTCATGCTCGTTTGCGTTCGTATGGGCGCAGGCGTAAGTGCACAGTGTATTGTTGCGACATTTTAATAGACAAATATGCGGAGTCGACCGCCACTTACACCCTAATACACAAAGTCACCTCTGTCGAGTGCATGTTTGGGCATCGTTCCTTTTTTACATCTCCGGCAAGTATCGACTTTAAAATAACAGGTTTTCAATAAGAGCGCTACAATATTTTTTTTTTATAAAACAAAAACGGTTTATCAATGACTCTTTACTCCTGTAAAAGTACATTTGATGCCATTATGTATGGAACTCGTTTTGTGTTTTGTTGCATGGGCACCACGGGCACGCTTGCAGAAGTCCAGACGCATAATCCAATTTTCGACTTCACATAACCATAAAAAATAGGCTGGCAGTGTTAGCTCGCACGATCTTGGAGCCGACGCCACAGACTTACGACGGGAGACATGCACTAACCAAAAGTTTATTTAAATAATTAATTGTTCGGTTAGCTGTATGCCAGGTAATGCCGTCTTGTTGGAGCTAAAGGCCCACATTAGCATCATCCAATTCTGGTATTAAAAAGTCATAAATCATGGCTCTATAGTGTTTCCCATAGCCTGTAATATTATGGTTGGCTTCATTTTTGAAGATATATGGACCAACGTTTCCTTCTAGTTCGATTACTAACTCATTTTAGATCTAGCCACCGAACATGCGATTTGCTTGATGATGCTTCATTGTTTGAATGAGTTCGATTTTGTAAGTGCGCAGGATTCTACCACAAAATCTCTCATAAAAATGTTGGGGATGAACGCATTCCGATCTTCTTCTTCAATACTCTACTTCACAGTAGTAATAAAGCTTTGGTGAGCACTATGCGTCGCCTCTGAGAATGCATACTATCAATCATAATGCTGATTTTGTCATTTTGAGCACTCTTTGAGCAATAACGCTCCACTGTGCGTATGCAAGAGCAAACTAGAATGCTTCTACTCACTGCTAATTGCAAGTAGAATACTTTTAAGGCACACATACCCATATACTGCAAGCGGCATGCATGCGTTTGATGACTACGCCAGCTACTCTAGCGCTCCGGCAACCACCACTTGAGCGCGCAACATCCCCGCCTGCAATGCCGCTGTGTCCTCTCTGAATGTGCTTTTGTCTATTCGTGGTTGTTGTTGGTGATTTATATTTAGACAAACCAATCAAGGGTTATTGTGTAAACAAAACTCCTTCAGCCAAAAGTGTCTTCGCGTCGGAGCAAGCTGCGTCACGACATCGAGCCCGAACTGTGAAGGGGTGAATGGATTGATGTTGCATTCACTCAATGTAGGTGTGCCTCAAAGTGCAGCCAAAGTGGATTGATTAACTATAATAATTGATATCTACGATAACGCGGTCCAGCATGGTTGTTTTATATAGAAAACATAAATTCCTGCAAACACTGCAACATAAGTTCTTCAAAGTTGTATACTAAAAAATGTTAAAAATTGAATTTGTGAAATTTTATCATTTATATAGTCGATTTGATTGACTGAGGAGTCTTGGTTCTTTGAGACTTATGGCAATGAGGAAGCGCGTATGTATTTTTATACCCTAAACAGTGTGTATCTAGCTTGCCACAGCTTTTGTAACACCCAAAAGGAAACGTCGAAGACCCTTTAAATTATATAAAAGGTGATCCATTTCGAGGTTTCCTTCTTCGGAACTCTTTGGAACTTTTCAAGAGTCCGTAGAGCTAAGCGATATGCTTGACACGACTCACGCGTTATCTACCAAAAAAGGCTATTGAAAAAAGGGCCTCCACTTGGATCACCCTATATAAACGTAGATCTTAGACAGTTCTAGCTTATAAGTTTATGATTCTCCAATATTTATTCATATTTGAATCTGCCTTAAGCTCAAACTTTGCAAAAAACTACTTCTAGTATTTGATCGCTTTGCGCTTTTCCATTTCAGATGCCCGGAGGGATTCATTGGTGAACGCTGCGACCGCAAGGAAGTCAATAATTTATCTCCCAGTACGTACAATAATGCCCAAGAATGTGAGAAGTTTTTGGGAGTTTATTATTGCTAAAGTAGGCTTTTCTATAGCATCACGTTTGGTTTAACTTGAGTAAAAAAAAAACAACTTTTTGCAATTTTTAGAAGAAACCCGCCACCAAAAGTAATACAAAAGTATGCGGCATAGAAGAAATTAAAGAAAATTGAAAGCGCATACATACTTACAACTACTTACATATTTAGATGTGTATGTATATATGTGTGTATGCATGTCATTCGAATCGAATGTTTTCAATTTAACTTTCTACGAAATATACCAAAAATACATATAATCATGCATAATCAATTGCACCATCACACACACACACATACAAACATACACGAAATCACATACTAACACAGCCACATTTACAAAAGCGCAATAAACCAAAAATTAGTTATAAACAATATAATACTGTTAAAATAGAAAATGCTAACACATAATAATTATTTATTTGTTGAGTTCAACTGTAGTAGGAAGCGATGAACCATAACTTACCATAAACACATTTACACACATATACACGTGCATATTTGTGTGTGCATGTACCGCTGTAGAACTTTGCTAACGCAAACAGAAACAGAAACAGAAACAGAAACTGAGACAGAAATAGAAAAAAAAGTAATTTGTTGAGTTTAACTGTAGTAGGAGGCAACTTATCCCAAACGCACACATATAAATATACATATTTGTATATGCATGTACCGTTGTAGAACTTTTCTAACGCAAACCGAAACAGAAACAGAGAAAAATAGTACAAATTCAAATTAAAACACCTGCAAGCAACTACTTTAACGTATACAAAAAAATATTAAAATGAAAAATAGATATGACTTTTTAGCTTGGTACTCTGAAAAATAGTGAGCATTTTTGTAGAGAAAACAATTTCCTACATACATAAGTATGAGTTTTCTGTTTTATTTATAAAGTTCATAAGAAAAGGGTTTTCTTAAATAAACAAACTTCAACCGTTAATATATTTTAAGCAGTTAGGTTTACGAAAACATCGTAAAATAGCTTTTTCGAAGTGCTTTCGATTTCCTACAAAATTCATGAAATAAGAAATTTTTTCAGTAGTTGGAAACGAGATTTGAATGTTTCTAGCTGATAATAAGAGACAGGAAACTGTAAGGCGGAGGACCTTCTCATACTTGGAGCGACTTTCTTAGAGGTGTTTAGAGAACTATTTCCAGAGTATCAAGCGAAAAAAAATTTTAAACTTTGGACTCACCCTAATATGGGGACATATGCGTATATACACATTTTTTGGCTGTTGATCGAACTCCTGCGTATCAAAGCGATTCTATAGAAAAAATTTCGATTTTATGACCCACACACAAATCTTTCCCTTTATTGACGCACCCTAATATAGATATAGATAGGTACATATATGCACATTGTCTGGGGAACTTTCGTAACTCCAGCGTATCATAGCGAATCTTCATAAAACTTTTAGATTTTTTTAGACCCACCCTAATTTAGTAATAGATGCATATATACTCATATTTTAAATGATTTTCGTAACTCCAGCGTATCAAAGCGAATTTACATAAAAAATTTCATATTTTTTAACCACCCTAATATAGGGATATATTTGTGTATATTTTGGGTGTTTTTCCTAAAAAAAATTTTTTTTTTATCCACCCTAATACATTAATATATTTGTAACTACAAAAATGCACACACAAACACACACATACAACACACACAAATATTAATGAAGCTTAAATTTCGCAAATAATTTTAAAACACATTCCAACAACTAATATTGTTATTTAAATTAAAAATATTTCAAATTCAGCGATTTGACAGTTTAACGGTATAACACACTTAAACGCAAAAGCAAAGCAAGTTGAAAGCTTCAAGTGAAAAAACTAATAAAAAAAACTAGTATTTTAAAGCCACTAAGCTGATGGAACTTCTTGGGATTGGTAAACGAACTTAGCGTACGATTTTGTTTTGTAAAAATAACGGTGCTATAGAAGGTTTATTTTACTCAATAATATATACTCCATGTTATTTACTTATTCTGTTCCTCTTACTTCTACTGCGCTTTCGTTGTTTTATTTAGTTTAATTTGTTTTTTTTTTTTTACCATTAATAATACCACTTAAAATTATTTTATTATTTTTAAATTATTTATTAACTTTAGTTTACGTATTTATTTACAAGCAAAGAACTTTACAAAAAGAAAAACAAAAAAATTAAACAAAAACATATTATATATTCTAAGAAGTTTTAGAGGAAATGCATTAAAATATGCTTGCAAGCATTGAAACAAGCAGCACAACAATAACAACAAAAATGTTAACGAATACTGCGAACCAACGTGAAATTACGAAAGTAATAGTAATACATATTTCTGAAAATAAGAGGCTCTCTTGCTCGCGTCCGCACACATACACATACATGCGCGCACACACACACCCGACTGTAAGTGTGCGTGTGTGTGTGTGTGCGCAAACATGGGTACGCCCACGTAATCTCATCAACTACACACTTCGCCGTTCTATTTATTTCAAATCATCATGGACACATACTCACACATACAGCCATACATATACATACACCTCACATATAGACCGTAAATAGTTGTAATACATAATGAAATCATAAAATTGATGAGATTTTGACAAATACTTTTTATTTTGGTACTCGCATAGCCTCGCTCTTAATTCTAAAAAAAACAAAACAAAACAAAAAAAACGAAAATAATCATAACGGCATAAACACTAGCGTGCCCCTCTCTGAAACATACCATATTTTCAATGGCATCTTTTCGCAAATCCTTTAACGAATTTAGCACATCTCAGCCCAACTGACAAACTCAACAACACAACTGTCGCTCATAAACGTATCACATTTGCGAAAACCATTTGCACCCTCCTTAACTAGGGCAAAGTTAAAACCGATTGATTACAGAACACCGTTCCTTACACCTTATAAATCGATCGAGTTCAGAAAAAAATATTGATTACAGAACACTGATTCTTCTACCACATCGATCGTTTCATTTGAGCGATTTCTTCGTAGCATTTTATTTCAAAATACTTGTCACTTGTCATAGCTAAAATACAAAACTGATATAATTTTATTTAAGCGAAACCGCTCTATGTGTCTCTTCTTAAGAGGTTACATGGGTTTCTCCGAGCAAAAAACGGCAAATTTTCAGTAAGTTTTGGTAACTTTTTTTTTTTTTTTTTTTTTGTTGAAAAAATTAAAATTTATTAATCCAAATATACAGGAAACTATTTACGGGATCTGTTGAACGTAAAAAAAAAACGTGGAAACTTTATTTTTGGCGAACATTTTTATAAATAATTTTAATTTGTCGATTTGTCTTGTTTTAAATAGTCGTAATTGAAAACAAAAACAAATTTTTTGTTCAAGGTCTTTAACATTATACCTCGAAAACCTGTACTAAATTTTATTAGCTCGCGAAATAAATTTTCGACAACCGAATTGGTTAATACAGTTTCGAACAGCATGCGTTTAAAGCTTAAAGGAGGTATTAAAGTCTAGAGACGTGAATGTCAGATAAATTTTAATTTTTACTCTCAATTTTTTATAAGTTATTTGTTAACATTACAAAAATATAGTACAAACTCAAGAAAAGAAATTGTAACTTTCAAAAATTAACAAGGGGTCTCAAACAATTGGTATGTGATCATAACCAAGATTTCAAGCGATTATATACAATTTGAAGCCCGAAAAATGAATTTTCTAGAAATTTTCTGAAATTTTTTTTAAATTTATTGAACCAAAAATTGTCACACAAAATATATGATTTCTTACTTTATTTTAGAACTTAGTATTAGTAAAAATACTTATTTGGAAAGCAACTACAACTGACCTTCGGGAGTTTCCCTCAAAACAGACGTTTTGTGTTGATCTTTCTATCTCTGCGCTGGATCCTCTGAAATTAAAAAACCAAACAGATGTCGTTAAAGCAATGATAAATCTAGTAAAGCAAATCGAAGTAATAAGCAAAATAAATTTTTTTGACAAAACGACGGTTTCTAAAAAAAATCGATTTTTTACCGAAATTTCGACGTTAAATTGTTTATAAAAAAATATTTTTCTGTGAGAAGACATCTTCGATTAATTACTAAAAAAAAAAATACATTTAAGAAGCTCGCATTGAAATTTGAGACGATTTAGTCGTTTTCGAGTAATGTTTTTTACAGACTTTGAGAACACCATTTTGAGAAAAACGCATTAAAAGTTTGGAATGTACTTCCAGGCACTCTGAAACGCCTTTTCAAACTTGCATGAAACTTCGAAAATATTCACCGGAACGATATGAAATTTTCTACGTATATTCTTACATATATGTACATAAAGAAAATAAAATAAAAAACATCGATTTTTTGAAAATTCTAAATGTATACACGTATAACCCCTTAGTGAACCATGGAAACAACTTTTTACACGAAATGGCGACCAAAAAAAAAAACTTTTGTACCACTTTATTGACTGTCTCAAATTTTTTAAAAATATTAAAAATTGAAATTCGGGAATATATAGAGTAAGATTATAAGAAGGCACTCTAAAAATTTTAGTTATGTCGATCCCGTACAAATTGATAAATCGTGACTAACGTTTTGAAAAAGACAGTTTCGCGAAATCGCTTTTGAAGTTTAAGTTCCGGCTGAACCACGACTACTTTTTCGACTGCTCCAAAATGTTTAAAAAATTTTTAAAATTATTATTTTTGTACAGGGTTAGATTACAAAGAAGAGCTGTATAAATTGTCGGTAAATCGGTCCTGTTAATCTCAAGTTTTAAACTCTGATCGTGATTATCGTATTGAAAAACACAGTTTCGCCGATCAGCAAAACACCTTTATCTGCAAAAAAAAGTTCTCTGAAATCTTTTTTCAGACATATTCTTGAATAGTTAAACTTTGATAATATATGTGGAAAAAAATCGATTTTTTTTATATATTTCTAGACTAGAATACCCCTTAAAGCGACT